GGGCCAGAAGAGGAGGGGAGGGAGCCAGGATCGGGTCCAGGAGGGGAGGGTCAGGGAGCCAGGATCGGGGCCAGAAGAGGAGGGGCAGGGGAGGGTATGGGAGCCAGGATCGGGGCCAGAAGAGGAGGGGAGGGGCAGGGAGCCAGGATCGGGCCCAGGAGGGGAGGGGCAGGGAGCCAGGATCGGGGCCAGGAGGGGGGGGGGGGGGGGCCGGGGGGGGGGCGGGGGAGGGGGGGGGGGGGGGGCTGGGGGCCGCGCCGGGCGGGGGGGGGGGGTGCCCCGGGGACGGCGGGGGGGGCGGGGGAGCGGCCTGCGGGAGCCCCGCCCCTTCCTGCCCGGCGCGCTGCTCGCTGGGGGTTGTAGTTGGCGCGGCGGCCTCCGCTGGGCGGGGCGGTCGCGCGGTCACGTGATGTTTGGGTTTTGCCCGGCGCTGCCCGCACACTTGCAGGTGAGCTGCGTGCGGCGGGGGGCGCCCGGCCTCGGGGCCCCGCGGAGGGGGCGGTGCGTGGGTCGGGGCCTGCGCGGTCCCGCCCGCAGACGGATGGCGGGGGATCTGTGGGGGCCTCCCTGCAGAGAGAGGAGGGTGTGTGGGGGTCGGGATCCTGGGGAGGGTCCCCTACAGAGAGAAGGGGGGTGTGGGTCAGGGCCTGCGGGGTCCCCCTGCAGAGAGAAGGGGGGGTGTGGGCCTGGGCCTATGGGGTCCCCCTGCAGAGAGAAGGGGGGGTGTGGGTCAGGGCCTACGGGGTCCCCCTGCAGAGAGAAGGGGGGGTGTGGGCCTGGGCCTGCAGGGTCCCCCAATAGCGAGAAGGGGGGTCAGGGCCTGTGGGGTCCCCTTGCAGAGAGAAGGGGGGCCTGTGGGGTCCCAATGTGGGAAGAAGGGGGTGGGTGGGTCAAGGCCTGTGGGGTCCCCCTGTAGAGGAGGGTGTCAGGGCCTGCAGGGTCCACCTGCAGAGAGAAGGGAGGGGTGGGTCAGGATCCTGGGGAGGATCCCCCTGTGGAGAGAAGGGGGTGTGTGGGTCAGGGCCTGTGGGGTCCCCATGCAGAGAGAAGGAGGGTGTATGGGTCAGGGGCATGGGTTATCATTCTCTCCGTTTGCAGCAGAAGGGTATCTGTGTATTTCTCCAGTACCTGAGCCTGGCCTCCCTCTAGGGAGCCTTCTGCAGATGAGGAGGGTGCATGTATCAGGGACCTGAGCTCCCTCTGGGGCACCTGTCCAGTAGGACAGTCTGCGATCCAGTGGCTTCCCTTCATCTCCACCTGTTGGTCCCCCATAGTGAGGTGGAGGAACTTGTAGAAGGGAGCTGGCTCACCAGCCTGACCTTTGCAGACCCATTCATGTGACTCCCCGTTCTGCTCCTCCTGAGGCATTTCACTGAGGGTGTGTGAATGAATACCAGCTGTTTGAGCTCTCCCATCTCTCCTGGGGGTGCCCCACCAGGGAGTGGGAGGTCCATAGGTGTCAGTTTTACCCCTGTATCCTCTTGGAGTGCACCCTCCAGAGAACTGCCTGCAGGTGTCACAGCTGAGCTCTCTTCTCAACTTCTCCTAGGGTGCGTCTGCAGAGTGTGTATATCTTGCACAGTGGCAGTTACCTGAATTCCCCTTCCCCTATGTCATTCCATATCAGAGTGTTTCATGCATAGCAACCACAGGATTTGGTTTTCAAATGGCTTGGGGGAAACATTTCATGGTACACCTAACTAGATGGATCCATTTTCCCCCTCTAGCTGGAAATGTCACTGTGAAGTTGTTTCCTACGGCTTTTTTTCATGCAGTGAAACTTGAATAATACAGAACCTCTCTCTGATATAGCAACTTTGGATGGTAGTCCGTTCTGACCATTGTTAAATAAAAGGTTTTGCCCACTTATGTCACTCGTGGATATGATATGGTGATTGTTTTCCTGGTGACTACTACGTGGTATTACATGGCATGTTTTTAAAATGCCATTTATTACCTCTAGGAAGGTGTTACTAGCAACACCTCTATCAAAATCCAACAAAGCAAGCAAAACTTCTTACAACTTTTTTCAGATTTAGAAAGCATCACTTTCTACACAGCCTTTGAGTAATCACAGAGCAGGATTCTTCTGTATATTTTTAAATTTCCAAAGATCGAAATGTCTTTATAAATGCACATAAAACTAGATTCATAGTATAAATATCAACCAAAATCAGACATTTAAAGGGACACTGTCAGGAAATATAGGTCCAACCTGTGTTTTGGTTTGTAAAATATATCAAAAATAAATATTTTCTAAAACAATAAAAATGTTTTCACAATTAAGAAAAAGAACATCAACTGAAAACCACTTGTTGGAATTTCAAATAGTCTCCTACAGTGTTTGCAACCCAATATTTGCACGTGCTTAACTTTAAGCATGTGAATATGTCACTTCTTGCATGTGTAATGTTAAGTAGGGATGTATATGTTTGTGTGGTCAAGACAAAATGTTGAAAAGCAACCTAGATTTTAAATGGTTTTTCCCCCCTGTTTCAACTAGTGGTGACAAGGGTAAGACTCATCCTCTAAAAATATATTTACCCTGCTAGTGATCCTTTTAATTAAGCTGGTATTTTTCTTAGTCATGAGGGCAGTAAGGTATTGAGTGGCATATTATACCTCTCGAGCTTTTTATTGGGTTGATTAATGATGACTCAGCCCCAGCCTACGTCTCTGACTTTTAATCTTAGTCTCTCTCTGAGCAGAGGGGTGAAAACATTTCTCCTCTGCTCAGTCACTGACTCCAGCCTTGATGTCCTCTTTGTTTTCATCTCCCACACTTGGCTCTGACTTCTTCAGTGATGACACCTACATGCAGAACGCCTTCCCTCTGCCTGCTAACCAAGCAATAAATGTCTCTCATCATTCCCTCCCCAAAACTCAGTTCTTCCACGCCACCTACAAGCAATAAGTTAATGTAAATAAAACCCAAAATGTGGCTTTAATGGAAGCACAGAGACTTGTGCCCAGTGTAACTGCAAGCAGGTGATCTTAGCACTGCTGTAACCCTGCAACCCTTGATATTACACTCTTCACTCTGTCATGTGTGAAATGAGATTGTAGGGCATATGTCTTATTGGCTCTGCAAAGTGTGTAGCAAATTTTTGGGTGCTGTATAAATATTATGTACAATCTTGAGCTCTGAGTCTGCAAGCTACTCTGCCTGGGCAGACTCTGTGTTTAGGCAGAGGCTACTGACTTAAGTGAAGCTATGTGGGCAACAAAAATGATTAGGGGGCTGGAGCACATGACTTGTGAGGAGAGGCTGAGGGAACTGGGATTGTTTAGTCTGCAGAAGAGAAGAGTGAGGGGGGATTTGATAGCTGCTTTCAACTACCTGAAAGGGGGTTCCAAAGAGGGATCTAGACTGTTCTCAATGGCACCAGATGACAGAACAAGGAGTAATGGTGTCAAGTTGCAGTGGGGGAGGTTTAGGTTGGATATTAGGAAAAACTTTTTCACTAGGAGGGTGGTGAAGCACTGGAATGGGTTACCTAGGGAGGTGGTGGAATCTCCTTCTTTAGAGGTTTTTAAGGCCCGGCTTGAGAAAGCCCTGGCTGGAATGATTTAGTTGGGGGTTGGTCCTGCTTTGAGCAGGGGGTTGGACTAGATGACCTCCTGAGGTCCCTTCCAACCCTGATATTCTATGATTCTATGTGTTAGTGTAAAGGTGTGTGCATGCAGAAAAGCTTGCAGGATTGGGGCCCTATTTTACAGGAGGGTGTCTGCTCTGCAATCACTATTCTTAACAGTGGGCGGTATCACTATTACAGAACCCGTTGATAAATACGAGTGAAAACTTTAACCCAAGTTATGGGCTGTAAAGTTAGAGGCTGAATGGAGGATGATAGATCCGTACTAGCATCTATATCGCATCCCGTATTGCAGTCCCTATGTAGGCAAACTCCCCCTGAAGTCAACGGTGTAGAAATAGAGCCTGAAAAATGATTCCCTTTAGAACACATACTTGCAGCGTGCCTAGAGAGAGAGTTTTTTGGTATGTATCTGTGTTAACGTAATGTGAAGTTTGCAAAATCAAGCTTTCAGAAGTTCAAAAATGCTAGACTTGATGCCCAGGGTGCCTTATTTCTTCCCCTTTGTGTGTACGCATTATGATGGTTACTTACACAAGGTTTATTTTAAAGAAAAAGGCACAACCAGATTCTGGCAGCAGCAATAGGCTGTTAACCTGTGTCAACAAGCTACTAAAGGAAGCTCCCTAACACAATGAAAGAGTGTTAAGAATGCATGAACAGCCCCTTTTTATGGACAGCATTGCTAAGAACGTAGATTTGGCAGATTCTTTCTGAGAGGCAGCGTGGCTAAATGCATCAAACTTGGGACTTCTGTATTGGAGATCTGTGTTCTGTTGCCAGTTTGTGTAATCTCTCAGTGGGGGTACTAGGCCTTGCTCAGTTCTAAAGGTTGTGCAGGGCACTAATTAACAGAGGCTGTAGCCCGACCCAAAGTTGGGTAAATATAATTGTAACTTGAGGATTAACAGTTTTTTGTTTCAAGATTAGGCCCAGTAAGATTATTGTAAAATTATCATATAATTTGGGAACCCCGATGTGCACAGGTGCAACACTTATACTATAGGAACTTTTTATATATAAAAATATGTGATTTATTAATAATTTAGCAAGGATTATACACACACTTAAACTTAAAGCAGATAGAGATAATACAGAAAGTACATTTGGACATTCATTCTTACACCTTTATTTTTTATACTTAACCATTCTTTTTTTTATTACTGTTATTGTTTTTATTTTTTTCGGTGGCCATTATTTTGGCCCCTTCCAAGGTTTACATCTTTTAAACCTATTTGCTGCCCCTAGGATGTTACTTTTATCGTAGGTTACGCTGCCATGACCAATGCATATACAATAGAGGTCCTTATTTGTATTTTCTCCCCTTAAGGTGTTTGTTTTGTATAGGTTAGCATATGTATGCTGTTACCCTATTAGCGTATACGTTAATTTGCTGTTATGGCAGCTTTGCGGTTAGAGGTCCTGTTCGGAACTTTTTGGATGCTGGTGTTAGCTCTGTTTTGTGAGTGGCTGATGTCAGCTGTGTTTTGTGGGTGGCTGATGTCAGTATTTTGGACAAAATTCCCCCTTTTGCGTGCTACTTTTAGGTTCCTATAACTTATGAGTTACTTAAGTATATTTATACCAAAGGTTATAGGCCTTAAGCCTTACACTATTTACTAAAGCCAAATTTTACAGGATAAAAGTCTGTAGGTTCCTTGCATTACTACTAAATATAATAAAGCAAAATAACAAAGCAATGAATATACAGGTAAGCTGGCCCACTGGGCTACAAGGTGAGTGTAGAACGCATGGCTTCCTGATTCCCAGCCCAATGTACCCCAGTGGCCAATGGGTATTGGGAGAAAGATCTATTTTGTGGTCCATTTCTGCATGGCATGCTGGGGGGCAA